ATTATATCTCCGATTAACTTGGATGTAGTGGTAAAGACTCTAGCATTAAGGATTACTAATCTAAAGCTGGAGGCTTGGAGAATCTGATACTCACAGGTCGACTAGAGGGAAAGAGAGACAAGGGAAAGCAACGCATAATATACCTGGCGGGCTTAAGCAAGTAGATGACAGAATTTCGTCTGGCTGAGGTGGCAGAGAGACGAAAGGAATCGGGGGAAGTGGAGATCCATGATTGCCTACGCCTTGAAAAGACTCTGGCATGTAAAAATAAATAAAGATATTTATTTTTCAAATATTATATATAGACTGGCAAAAGAAAGGATTATGAATTTTGCGTTGTTGATATTAGAAATGCTATCGGCCTTGTCTTTTTTTTTGGGTGGGGGGGATTTGTGGACTTTATATTATCGTTTTCTAGCGTTGGGATGCAATAATTTGAGTTGTGTAGTAATCTAATTGTTCTATCAATGGATTTCTCTTCTTCACATAGTTACTCTGCATTACATATTCTAAGGAATCTGTCTTAGAATCCTATGACAAGTCCTGATTTTAGTTTTTGAATGTCGTGGTAATTTTAGAATTTACCTTAAACCCACTAATAAAAACGATCCAATTACGTTTTATTCCCACCATATTAACAAATAAAATCATGACTAACCATAGGATTTTCCATGCATGAAAGTAGAGATAGGCTTGCTAAGTTGGGTTTATAGGGAAAGGGCTGCAAGATGAAAATATCTCAGCCCCCAGCACTTTGATCATTATCAAGGCTGCAAAGTGAGGAACTCATAACACTAGACCAGATATAAGAAAAGTACTTTGTTCGATCTGATTCTTTCATATTTCATTCTTGCATTTGATGCACTTTCCTCTACTCGTAATAATCACCTAAAATATAATGATGCTTTCTTTCATTTTCGCAGGTTACATTCGCTGATTGTTTGGTGGGAAGGAGCGAAAAAGAAATGGTAAAGAGACAAAGGCTACTAAAAATTGAAAAAAAATGGGAAGCTGTAGGGGCCATTTTCACCCATATCATGAAGAGCCGAAGTAATTAGAAGAAAATTAATTATACTTTATTTACGCCAGTATATTTATATACTTCTTTATTTTGTTCGCGAATTACAGTTTCTCTGTCAGTTTTTATGTTTTCTTTTTAACAAACTCATTTCTTCTAGAATTAGTTTTAACTCTTTTATCTCGACTATCTTCCATGGTGATATTTAACTAAATATCTTTTTTATTGTTCTTGACAAATCTTTCAATTCGTTATCACTGTTTGAAAATCATTTTTAAGTCGACCTTTTACAATAAATGATCAAAAAACCTATCATCTGTCTGTTAAAAATAAGTTATATTGTTTTATTTGGTTGTCGTACTCACACAAACAATTACAGCAATTTAAATATCTGGGAAGACTTTTATAAGAGGGCGAAAGTAACGACACTGGCATCCGAAAGCGCATTGGGATATAGAAACAGGACTTCCAAAAGCTAAGTAAAGTATTAAGAATAAATAAAAGAGTACTGACCTGTTATGTAATATCAATGACAGTGAATGCAAGCAATCTCCTCGAAGATTTAGAAGACAGTTGAAGCATCAGTAATGTGGTTCTACAGAAGTTTACTGAAAATACCATGAAAAAAATTGAGCACCGACTAAGTTCTCGAGAAAGTGGAAAGAAAAAGGACAATCATACTTAACACCTGGAAGAAATTAAATTTCTAGAGCATATACTCATGAAAGTTGGCTTAGGAAATTTGAAGCTCACAGGATTAAGAACTAAAACAGATATGAAATTTCAGAGAGCCATGATCGCCAACATACTGAAGAGACATGCCACATAGATGAAGGAGATTCATGCAATACACAACAAAAACTGCGATTTGAAGTCTCGTTGAAATACTCTTCTGTTGATCATTAAGTTGGTGCATTCTATTACAGACATCTTTAAAGACCGAGTGACAGCAAGTCTACTCAAATTTCCAATGGATATCACGATCTCTTTGTACACACTATAAATTCTGTCTCTTCACCGTAACATGTTGTTCTCGAATTTCCATCTGATCCAAACTCGATTTCTATGTATTTGACATGGTTCATATTCACCAATATAATTGGAAAGTCTTTTCACTTAAAACCCCAGGATAATATCTTTATTATTAGTAGTAGTATTATTATCATTATTATTATTATTTGTAGTAGTAGTAGTAGTAGTAGTAGTAGTAGTAGTAGTATTTCCTCTGATTTCTGGTGTGTAAACATTTCTTTCAGGCATTGTTGATGTTCCCATGCGCCATATTTCTGGAATTTCGATTTCAAGGTCTTTGTATTTCGATAGCTTTTTGAAGATCTTCATAAATGCATAGCAGTCTTCAGGGACTGCCATATCAATAAGGAGGCAAATGTTTTGTTTGCGGTGTCTAACAACAATGTCTGGGCGGTTAGCTTTGATTGCTCAGTCAGTTTGTATTGTGTATTATTATTATTATTATTTCATTCAATTTCTGCTGGTTTCAGAGACTTCAGAAATGTCTTCATGACATTTTCAATTTTATTTAAAAAAAAACAAAATCTAAGATCAGATTCATTTTCTATAGATAAATCTCTTAGTAATGTATGCGCCTTACGTGTGAGTAGAGTTTGTTTTCTTTATTTCTTTGAGGCATGGGCTGCCAAGAACTCATTCAATGAGTCTATCGGAAAAATTTCCAATCAATCCGAGGACCCCACCTACAACTGGAATTATTGATGTCTTCATGTGCCATATTTTTTTTTATTTTAGTTTTCTACCTCAAAATCCTTCTATTTTGAAAATTTTTTTTCAAGTTCTTCAAAGATACATTGCAGTCTGGAGGGACTGCCATGTCAATAAGAAAGTACATTCTGTTTTTTGGTCTCTAATCCCGATGTCTAAACGATTAGATTTGATTGTTCTGTGTGTATTGTAAAGTCTCATACAGGTCTAACTTTATTTTAGTTTCCGTAAAAGTTGCATATTTTTCAGTGCAATTGTTTCAATATTTTCAACCAATCCGAGGACTCCAGCTACAAAAGGGTTTGTTAAGATTCCCATGTCCTACATTTTTGAGATTCCGATTTCAAGGTCCTTGTATTGTGATAGCTTTTTGAAGATCTTCAGATGTACATTGCAGTTTGCAGGGGCTTCCATATCAAAACGGAGGCGTTTTTTTTTTTTTTTGCGGTCTCTAATAACAATGTTCGGGTGGTTAACTTTGATTTGTGTGTATTGTGTAGCCCCATACAAATATTACAGGTCCTATCTCCGTAACTGGATCTGGGAGGTGTTTATACCAATTACTTTTAGTTTCCTTCCCGTAGAAGCTACAGATATTCAAGTGCAGATATTGGCCCACTTTGATATGCAGGGTTTTATATTCAGTCGGTGCCAATACCGTGACCTGCTACAAGATGATCAATTGTTTCTGGATATTTATCAGAGAATCCGCATTTTGTGCTAACACAATATTTTAGTATGTGTGCTTGATAATGTCTAGTTAACAAGCATTGGTCCTGTGCAAAAAGGATAAAACCTTCAGTTTCAGCTTTTAACTCTGCACTACATATTTGAGAGTAATTTGTTTCGCTCAATGTCCCTGCGGAAATTGACAGGCATGTTTGGGTTGAGGTGAGGTCTTATATCACTTCCTACCATAGTCTCCATATTTGGTATGTCTGATTCTTGGTATTTTTGGTGGATTTTTGAATGCAGTGAAGAATTGTGTCATGACTTGATGATACTCTTCACGAGACCATTTCGTTCGTTTTCCTTTTATTAGTTTATTTGGTATTGAGTCACTTAGTCCAAGGTTGGGAATAGTCCCGGTTTGGTCACCAAGTGTCGCTTCGTTTTTGGAGGAGTTTGTTCCAGTGACAGATTTTTCGGTCCCAGACTTGTTCCTCTCTGATGTACGCGGCCCTTGTTGGCCTGGGTGATGGCCGATCTGGTATGAAAATTTATTCGTAATCATTAAAAATCGTATAATTTTGTGTTTTAACTTTGACCGCCAAGGGGTAATTTTGTTCAAGTTACGACCTCGAGGACGACAATAATAAGACCAGAGAGCTTGTCCAACCCATCAGTAAGGATGGGGATTATATTCATATACCCACGGTTAAAAAGTTCATAATTTACTATTTTATTCAGTGGGGTAACATATGCGTATAGACTGGCACTGACTATATTAATTTCTAACTTCGTATAAGTCAGAGTGACCACTACCAGGTGGATTAGCAGACTTTAATATTGAGGGTTAATCCATAGAAAAAAAAAACGGAAGAGTGAGAGGAAAGAGAAAAAATAAAATGAAAGAATTAAACTTAAAATAAATTGGAAGAGACTTAAAATGAAATGAAATAAAAGGAAAAATGTAATTTAAAATAGTATTACGATTCCTTATATGTTAAAAGGATAACACAAGGCTTCATTTCAACAATGTTCAACTTTCTGATGCCACTGAAAGTTATAGTTATCAAGTTTTATAGAATAGGCCACCCCTCTGCTATAGTTTTGTGGAAAAGCTTCCGAAGAATTCATTAAACAAAGGGATAAAATCAAGGGAAAAAAACAAAAAAAACATACAAATTGTTATCAACTAAAAGATAAATTTTATATTTTAAATTTTCACTCAAAGAGAAATCAGAAAAATTATTATTATCATTATTATTATTATTATTATTATTACTACTACTAATAATAATAATAATATATTTTATAGTTATTCAAAATATTTAATTATGAAAAAATATATCATCTCGTTGTAGCCAATCTGATTCATATCGCTCCACATTTGTCTACGTAGAAATAACAAATGTCTTTACTGGTTTAGAAAAAGGACAGCAAAGGCGTCAACGATATTGCTTTTTAATAAAATGGTTTAGTTTTATTTCGCAACACTGGGCTGTTCTTATTGCATTTATTTCAACACTTGAATATTTTATCAAATATGATGATGTGACGCAATTAAAAATCAGCTTCTATGAACACAAACGAAAACTTAGGAAATTCACATAGTATACAATGGGAGTTAAACAAAAATATTTATTCTGTACATATTCTCTTTCTCTCTATTTTTGTAACATTTGAATTCCTCCTTCTGTCTCTTTTTTCTTTCTTACATTTTCAGCCTTCCTTTAATATATCTTTCAATTTCAGCCTCTCTTGTGTCTATGTTCGTAATTTTCTTTTATTTTTTTTCATTTTCCTCTTTATTTTTTCATATATATAATATATTTTTTCTACATTTTAAACTTTTGTTGAGAATTAATAACATTAGAGTAATACAGAAAAAAAAAACAAAAAAAATAAATCTGAAAATGTTAGGAAGATTGCATCATGCCAAACTATAAAACCTCGTTTTGGTATCATTTTCTAGTTTTCTTTCTTTCTTTTTTTCTTTCTCTTTCTCTCTCTCTCTCTCTCTCTCTCTCTCTCTCTCTCTATCTATCTATCTATCTATCTCTCTGCATTTGTAAAATTAAGTTTCCCTCAATTCATTCTTCCTTTGCTTACTTTTATTTTAAAGCATTTCATCCCAAACTAGGCGATAATGTCACTAAAAGGCAAGTGGTTACTGAGGGCGAAAGAAAATGAAAAAAAAATCCCACTGGTGAGAAAGGACAATAAAAGAACAACGTTCTGGAAGACAGAAGACGGTGATTGATATTGCACTTACATTTTTCAAGATCTTATGTGACAGGAAAGCCAGAAACTGAAAGAGAGTTCTACAGACGAGAAAAGAAATTGTTAGAATAGAAATTTTCGGTTGTATCTAATTATTTCAACAGTAAAATGACGAGAATTTTTTGCCAATAAAAATACTACGCTTACGGTAGCATGGGTGAAAACTCATCAGAACAATTGCCATGAAAATATATATAGAAAAGACACAGGGAACACTTAATCATGACTTTGCTTGCACTATATTGTCATTGTCTTTTCAGTTATGTTCCTTCATTACTTACAAAGAATCACAGCGATGTTTTCATCTTTGAAGCATACAATGTCAAAAATAACAAATAGAAACAGAATAACAGCAATAAAATATAGAGAATTATGGCAGGTAAATCAAAGAGGAGGACATACATATCTGTAATATTAACATTTGAAAAAAAAAACAACTTTTGCTTGAAAGAGTCTATATCTACAAGGCCTAGTGGTAATAAGTTCAGAAAGCCCTTCACTTTACATCTGTTATGCTATTTGTATTTCTTCTGGTTGTTTCATTTATGCAGTCAGTTTATGATATTATTCTTATAAAAATAGTTTTCAATTATTTTATATTTTTCTCACATCTATTTTTCTGTATTTTACCATTTTTCAAAGATTCAGTTTTTTTTTTTATTATTTTTAGCGTTGGTTATCGTGGATCATTTTTTAAAACAATTCTTTACTAAGTTGACATCATTTAGATTTTCATTTTTCTGTCTTTTACCATTTTCCAAAGATTCTGTTTTTTTAACATTTTTTAACATTTTTCTGTCTTTTACCATTTTCCAAAGATTCAGTTTTTTTTAACATTTTTTTAACATTTTTTTAACATTTTTTTTAACATTTAACATTTTTTTAAACATTTTTTTAACATTTTTTTAACATTTTTCTGTATTTTACCATTTTTCAAAGATTCAGTTTTTTTTTTTTCTTTTTTTATTATTTTTAGCGTTGGTTATCGTGGCTCTTTTTTTAAAACAATTCTTTACTAAGTTGACATCATTTAGATTTTCATTTTTTTTTTTTTCATTATTTCCTTTTTCTTCGTCAATAATGTTTTCCTACCTTTATTCCTTTTACTTTTACTAATTTACATATTGGTTCTTTTCTTCTTTTTTTCTTTGTTCTTTTTATTTACTTATTTTGTTCCTGCACTTATTATCCTTCGCTTTATTACTTCCTTTTCTTTCTTTCTTTCTTTCTTTCTTTTTTTCTTGCTCATTTATGTCTTTCCTTCCATAACTTACTTCATTCTTTCCTTTCTCTCCTTTCCCCTTTACTCTCCTTCACTTTATATATCCTTCACACCTTCCTCTCTTTCCTCCTTATCCTTCATTTTTTTTATTTTCTATAAACTCAATTCATTCATTAATTCTTTCCTCCCAAATGTTTTATTTTTCTTTATGCAATTTGATCGAATTGTTTTCCTCAACATCTCCTCAAAATCCGTTCCCCCTTCTGCTGTCAACTTTCACTCAATGGTGATAATAAGATCACTTGCCATTAATGATATTTCAATTCGTCGCGATATTTTCAAATACATTTTTAATAAGCACGCGAAAAATTAATTCAATTAAAACAGGATCATAAAAAAATAGGAAAGAAGTCAAAATTAAAATCTCGGAATGAAAGGTTAGAGTAATTTAATCAGCTTATCCTCTTTGCCACTTGCTATTTCGTCAATTATTTTTCAGATATTTTTTTTTCTTGTTTTCGCCAATCGATTGTGATTATTATTTTCAAATGCCACGCCTGTTTTTGCTAATAATCATCGTAGTCTTTAATGATTTCACTTTAGCTGAGATTTTTAAAGCTCGTTCGTGATGACTGTTCTATTTGTCTCGATTGCAAAAGCTATCGCGAATGGAATTACTACCGCCCTGTTTAACAAAGTAGCCGACTTTTCAATACGAATTAATAAAAATTAAAACTAAAGATACCTACGAAGCAATGTGATGTACGGTCAGCTAGACATGACATCTATAGTTATAACAGAGTCAGCATTATGCATGTACACTTGTTTGTGGTGCTAGTCAAAATGACAAGAAATAAAAACAGAATTTAAAAAAAATATATATTAGAAAATTATATTAAAAATATGCAAATAAATACAACTCGACCAAAATGAGGAAATATTTAAAAACAAATACAGTCAAAATGATTAAATTTATTCAATTGCAATAAATTGTAGGAAGAAACACATTTCTCAGTAGGGTTACTGATAGGGCTTAAAAATGAATTGATAGAAATATAAAAGAAAAGCAAATGTACAATTTCGAAGGTAAAGTCCGGACCACGTTTAAAGGATTAACTGTTCGTCCGGTGATACCAACCATAAATAAAGGAATAGAAACGAAAATATTTAATTTCTACAATGTCTTATTTTTCTTTTCGGCTTTACGACATTGGAAAAAGAAAATTCATTTTTCTAAGATTAGTTTCAAACCAGAATAAGAAGGCCATTAATTTCCAAAGATAGTAGATTTGAAATGCATTCATATGCATGATGAACAGTTAAAACGAAATTGAAAATTTATTTTAATATATGGGTCTTACAAATATATGCGACATATAAAGTGATACTTTTTCTTTTAGGGTTTTTACCTAATATTTTATTAACAATAACAGATTAAAGACATAATTCAGTATATTACAAAGTGTATACAACACTCGAATACTAAGATATCAAGTCTTTTAATAATAAAATTCATAAGGAATTTTGTAACTTTGGAGATATCGACTAAAGTATATTTCTTTTACTTAAGCCACGTGCATTTCTTTAAGTAAGTTGATTGTAAATGTTCTCATTACTGAACAATGAAGTGAAGCATTTATTTAAGCAAGTGTTTTCTTTAACTTATATATTTCACATTGAGCCTCAAAACCTGCAATATGCAACACTGTAACTCTCATCCACTGATGGAAAATATGTGTTATTATTTTCAGAACGAACCTCGTATTTATATATTGATGTAATGTATATGCATACACCTGGGTTTACCCACATAGTAAATGATTGGCTGGTGTTAGCCATAAATACAGTCTGATGTGGAGGTACATGGTACGCCTATTGTCTACGCCTATTGAATAAGCATAAGCCTACGCCTATTGCCTACCACTACGACAAGGACCAGTCAATTACGGTTACCTGCTAGATTGTCCTACCCGGTTACAGTAGCCAAAACCACTTAGCTACTTCGAACAAATATATTCCTTTCTTGGACTTATCATTATATATATATAAGCTACCTCCTTCGGAGGGCTCTTCATTGGGCCTATATCACAATCAGTATGGAGGAGTAGATATGATAGGCAAACAATAAACTACAGAAGAACTCGAAATTGATCGTTGCATTTAATTATTGCATTAATATTTAATGTTACCTTTTAAAAGTTCAATGATAATTGTTCTGCTGCCACTTAATTTAAAGACAATTTGTTGCACGTCGGTCCTTACTTTCCGAATAAACAGTTGTTTCTATTTCATGGGTGAGTTCCCTGGATTTTGCAATTAATTTCTATTATTTTTAAATTTATTTCCAAGTTATAAAAATTGTTATCGAATATAAAATAAAAAATAGTCGCAAAAAATCACGTAAAAATTCGCCGAAAACATTCGCAGTAATGAATACATTGGAATTTAAAATTTCCGGATTGCAGGTCAGGATCAGGCCCGGAATGTTTTTAACTTGCTCACGGAGTCGACCTGATTATAAGATGGTATGATATTTTGGGCTACAGCCCCTAGGAATAAAGTTGAAAACACAGATATTTTTATTCTGAAACACACTAATTAAAGAACAATAATTTTTTTCATTTGAATATGACCTGTTGAATGTTAAAGTGTTGTTAAATGTTAAATGTTTTAATCAGTGGAAGCCAAGATGGTGGAATCAATCGCAATACTAAAAAGGTGGGAATCCAAAATTTCAGTTTTGCAGGTCAGGATCCAGCAGGAATATTTTGCAGCCAGATTCCAAAATGGTATGATATGTTGAGCTACGACATCTGGGAGCATAGTTTAAAAGTGTAATGCAGTGACACATTGGCATTCTCATTTATTATTATTATATATATATATATATATATATATATATATATATATGAGTGTGTGTGTGTGTGTGTGTGTGTGTGTGTGTGTGTGTGTGTGTGTGCATACACTCACATAATACATTTATTTAATTTACAAAAGCGTCATAACAGGGAATGTCATGTGAATGATCAAAATTTGAAAATGATTAGTGTGAGTGTCAAATGAAAACAAATAGAGTACAGTGCTAACGTACGTAACATTTAATTTAAAAGAGCGCTCAATACAGATTAGACCAATATCATTTATTTTAGGATGTTACATTGAAAACGTCAAAACCGCTACACAATTCAAGTCGTGTTTCGATGTGTAGCGACGCATCTCATCAAGCGATTGTAAATTACTGGCGAGTGAGCGAATTATTCTGATGAAAAATAAAAAAAGAAAATAAGGTGTGGTTATAATGCTTGTGGGCTTTACTCAGATCAACCAATCGACTATGACATACGTTCAATTCAAACTAAGGCAAAAAGTAATGTTTAAGAAATTATTTTTCATAAATGTGTCATGGTCCGTAGAGTTGTAAACAATGGCAGCAATTGGAGCGTATGTAAATATATTATACATTAGATAATATCATTTTCTAAGAATAATTAAGTGGCAATCTAACAAAGTGTTAGACTAGTAATACGCTTCGTGAGTTTTATACATAAAAAAAATTATAGTTGACAAATAAATAACTTCTTTAAGAAACCAGTAAATAATTTAAACGTAGAGACTTACTTGGTAAATTAATATGCAGCTGTTGACTAAAGATTATTTATATAAAGTGTTAATAACAATAAGCAATCAAAACAAAATGTCAAAATGTTAACCAAATACCAATACATCCGTACAAGATTTTACCACCACTAACAGGAGATTAGTATAAAAGTATATTAAATTTATCTTTCTGTTGGTAAGATTAAATTAATCTTACGACTAGAAAGATAAGCCATATAAGGTGCAACATAGTTCAACTAAAATCTAAAAAAAATTCTAACTGAATTGTAAGGTAAAAGGTAAACTGTGTTTACACTTTTACCATTAACTAGGATCCTTCGTTTAATAAAGCATTCTTAACAAAGAACATGATAATTTGATTTTTTTTCATGTAAACATAGAATACAAGGTCCATATAAGGATCTACTGCTCCTTGCCATTTTTATAATTTTCCATTTCACCGTAAGTTTTACTATCGTCTTTCAAACTCCAAAAGTATTTAGAATATTTTGCATTATTAGATTATAACATACACGCTCGTTGACACTTTATAGTGGATATACGTATTGTGAAGACTGCTCGTTTAGATTTTTTAAAAAGTGTGTATTACATTTACCGGTCTTCGCACTCGAAAATATAATAAAGAAAATCTGCCCTCCTTATACATTCTATTCTGTTGTAACCTCGATTGCGTAGACCGGGACAAGTAATTCACTGTTAAAAACAGGGTGTTTAACCAAATAGAGGTATCCAGTAAAAATAGGGTCTAAAATAATAAAAATAACGGATTAAAAACTTAATCCTTAAAAATTTGAAAAACATAAATGGGCGAGAACAACAGAAGATTAATCAAGGGGAGAGTAGATAACGATTGGCATTAAATTTGGCTGCGAAGCATGGAGCCGGAAGGGTATTCCACAAGCGAGAAGTGCGAGACAAACTGTTACCTTATACCTTATGGCTACATCTAAATAATTCACCTGTAAATTGATTACACGTTTTTGCCAAACTAGTACAGCGATTAAATTCTTAAAGTTTCCATACCATAGCGGAAAGATTATCAGAACAATTAACATTTACATAAAAGCCAGATATATATATATATATATATATATATATATATATATATATATATATATATATATATATGTAGCGAAATTTCCACAGATAAAGGATTATCTTTTTGTAAATGAAAAAAAAACTATGTATGCCAAGAACATTTCCACCGCAATAAGTTAGTTTTTTCTCCGCATTGATTAAATTCCGTCTAGATTTTTCAAAAAATTCATAAGTTACACAACATCTACAAATGACTCATTCTTACCACTGTCATATTTCAACAGCTTCAATCGATTTGCAGGTACTTTTTCTTTATATTTTAGGAGGACTTTTTAAATTGAAAAATAAACTAAAAACAGGAAAAAACGAACGAACGAAAATGATTTTTTCTCAAAGTTGAGGCAACTCTCCATTTTCGAAAGGAAATAATTTGATTCCATCAATTATTAATCTTGTCTATCCGTTAGCCAAGTGCAAATCGCCGATCTGCGGCGAGGGGCAAACGATTTACTTTTAATTTATTTTCTAAATAGCATTACAAAATTATATTCATCACATTTCTATTTTTATATAGTTTGGACACACACAAATATACATAGGCGCACAAAAACACACACACACGTGTTGACATTCAGATGTATATGTGCATGTGTGTTTTTTTATGTGTATGTGTGAACAAAGACACCCACGCATGTGCATTTGAATGTATGTATAAAT